CCGGCGGGAGCCGCGGCTCTCGGCGGGGCAGTACCGGCGCTCGCCCGAGCGGGGCGGGGCGCGGGCGGCGGGGCGGGAGACGGCGCGGGGTCCGGTCCCGCCGAGACGGGCAGCCCCCGTGGCCGGCTCCGTTCAAAGCTATCAGAGCGGAGACCTGGTAGAAGTGCACTGACACAGCTCTCGGGGACTTAACCCCATGTCTCGTAACCTTCACCATCACAGTATGAAGTAATGGAAAACATTTTTTTTTTTCATTTGAGACTGGTCGAACAGATTAGAACAGCGACTGACTGCCAACTCACTACATGGGGAGCGGCGTTATTACACGGGGAACAAAAAGAAGTCTAAATGTTGAACATCAAACAGCTGCTGATTATATACATTACTGGTTTATGTTTTTCCTTAAAGCGTTTTTGTGGCTTAGAGCTTTGAGCGCGGACTGGTTGAGCTTCCTGAGCAGCGGAGCAGCCCATCTGAAGCCCAGCCGCTCGAGGCTCGTGGTCGGCTGTTTGGGCAGTAATGTCAGAACTGTAGAAAGGGAAGGCTTGGCTTTGTTCCTTTCTCTTACTTAAAAGTTGATTATGAAATTACATGAGCTAAATTCCAAATACAGTCATCTTTTGAAGAAAAAAGGTATTGCTCAGGTCTTCTACGAGCATGAACAGGAATAAAAATTTGAATTCATGGTAATGGTGTAGCTTTTCTATCTAGACAAACTATGTACTGGATGGGTGCATCCTTTTTAAAAACAGATAACACGAGGTATCTTCACGAGCAATTCATCAATTTTGCCAGAAATAATCTTGTAATTTATCATAAGGGTCTTTTTGCCTGGGAATTTCCAGGGGCATATGTGGATTAATATTTAAAAAGAAAAAAAAACAAAAGTGCCTTGGTCCTGCACTTCATAGGTGCATTCCTGATAGGGCAGATTGTATTCCCGTTTTCTGGTTTTCCCATTTTCCCCATGCTGAACAATACTAAGATAAAAACAAAATAATAATAATAATAAATAGCCCTAATCTAAGTCAAATAGTGTTTTCCTCTGCCATTTGTCAACTTCATTGAACCATCCATCCCTCAGTCATGTCCTCTGCATGGGCAGGTCCACTAACAAAGGCAGCGTGTTTACACCATGGCAGTAGGCTAACATTGTGTTTCACAGAAATGTAATAACTGCTAATTTAAAATAGAAAAGAATTGAAGTAAAGAAAATCTTCCATTAGACTATTATGGTCAAACAGTAAGTGCAAACTGTTGTTAACAATGACAATTCATATTGGTGGACTTGTTCCGACTCTCGAGAGTTTTGTATCAACCGTGCTTTTATAAAGACTATTGTTTGCTTATGTTTATGTCTTGTTGCTTTGTTGATATAATTCAGTGTTTCATGATATATAAGTAAAGGCAATTACCTAATCAGACATAACATGACTCAATGATGAAAATTTCTACAGGTCTTAGGAAATTATAGTATGATTTTACATTTCCCTTACAAAATTCTTACAATTTCCTCTTTCCATAGCAATTAAATTGCTTTTCCTTGCAGCAGTCTTGCCAAATAGAAAAGTGAAGAAGTTACAAACCTGACTATTCACTGCTTGCTTTTTGTCATAGGAACTGAATCTTTCATTCAGAGTTACCAGCAAGGCAATGCTGAACACATGTATTATTGGGCTGCATAGCCTTAAAAAACAGTCATATGGGAGAGATGAGGTGATGTGCTCCAGATGCAAGAATGAGGTGGTAATACCCTTCAGAGACCTGCAAGGTTAATGGAGCTAGTAAGAAAGATCAGACCATGAGAGGTTACATATTAGGTATCATATGCATGCAGGTATCATGCAAGGCTACTTTCTTTCACTTCCAAGTGCATATAGTAATTTTTTTGGTGCCAAGCCAAAAGGAGATCCATACTATTTCAGCAGGCTAGATTTTTTGAGTAAAGTCTAACTTCAGTAAGAAAATTTTTAGTGGCCTGTACATAGGTGAGGGTTGAGAACCACTGTGTGAATTTTTATAGAGCTGCTCCATTTAGGCAAGTGTGTTTAGTGGTGGTGCTTGTCTTTATTCATCAATCAGTGTTACTCTTTGGCACCAGTGCTCAGCTTAGGTGCTTTTCCCTTCAGAGAAGGAATTGAAGATAAGAGTGATAGTGGACTAATGTTTGGGTTTTTTTTCAAGAGATACTGTGTTTGGAAACTAGTGTTTCATTAGAGTTTACATATTCACATTTCATATTAATTTTCCCCCTTTTTTGTGAGTCTCTGTTGATGGTTATGTAACTTGAAGTTGTGGAAGGAATGAGGGTGACAGTTGTGCAGTGACACATTTTTAGCATCTTCTTATCAGTAAGTGTAAGAATCACAAAACAAATTGAAAGAATTTCTTCTACCTGAACAGAGTCAGGAGTCTGCTTTTGAGATTATTCCTTTGTTTCTCCCCTCAAGTGGGTGGCTCTTACTTGTTTGCACTGTTATTTTTCTGCCTCTAGAGTTTTTTTCTGCTACCTCAATTCTTTGGAAAGAAGAGGACAAATGGAACTACTTCATTCTTTGAACAACTAGAGATGATTCCGGTGTTATAGGTAAGCATTTTATTTACTCAGTTCTAACAGTAAATTATGCTACAAGAAATGTGATTTTAGCCCATAAGGCTACATAGTCTTCCTTACACCTGAAGCTTCATCCTCTTTTTTGTCTTATATACTACATCTTGTAAGAGCTTCTTTCTGGCAAGTGTGAATAAGCAGCAATGGCTTTGTTCATGTGGGCTTTGCATGCTGGTGTTTGGACCAATTTTATGCAATTTCAGCACTGGTGCTCTTTATCAAAGCATGCCTTATTGGAGGCTGTCAGCATTATTGTAAAGTTCAATTTTGATATTTTCAAAATGCATGAGAAGCCTTTGGATCTTTTAATCATTATAGGAAAACCAGGAAAATTTATACTGAGTCTGTTAGAGAAAATACTTCTTTATAGAAATTCTTATGAATAAAGGCCCACCAAATGCACAATCAAATCTCATCACTCCAGTAATACTGACTGGGTTTCACTTCATTTCATTTTTTTAACAGGAGAGGAGTAACACTGTTCCAAGCAAAAGTAATTTTCAAAGGGAATAGCTTTGACATTTGCACAAAGGAAAAGGATAAAAGAATGCTGAAAGCATGAATACATGCAAGAATCTAGCTTTATCTGAACTCTCTATAAAGTAAAATACTGCTGAAAAATAAGTGCTAAGGGTGACAAAAGCAATCCAATTAATTTAGAAATACTAGGTTTTACTAAAGTGAAAAAAATCTGCTTTCTCAACTGTGAGATCTCTGCTTTGGAAATGTTGATAAATTCCTTTAGATGTGATATACATACAGAAGAGAAGTGGTCTTTCTCCCTGTTCTTGTCATGGTCAGTCACATTGTTTCCATCATAAATATCCTTATTGGTATATACCACCATACATGATACCAAGCCTTTCTTGAGCTTTAAAAATTATTAGACCTGCAAGGTTCCTCAGAAATTACTTTGTGAACAGGTTTTGTGTTTTCACGACTTTGCAGTAGTTCAAAATGCGGTAGCTCCACCTACTAAAATAGCCAACCTCCTCCAGGCTGTCAGAATTTGTGCAGACCTGCATCCTTTCTACACTGGGCATGAAAATTGAAAGGGATTTGAAACAAGTGTACTACCAAGAGAAGGAACTGAAAAGGTTGGTCACTGTAGTATATATCTTTATTCCCATCGTATTGCAAGGTAGACTAATCATTGAGCAGGGCTGCTGATTTTTAATTATGTCTTACAGACTTTGCTGGCATTTTTCCAGAGGACGAATTTCTGTAAAGTTGATTATTGATTTCAATCTGTTCAGAGGAATACTTTGCCAATTAATTACCTCTTCTAGCAGTTCTAAGTGCAACTGATGTTAAAAATCCTGATGTCGTCCATTACAACAGGATATACATAAAAGAAAAAGTTTTGAGTGGTAGCTTGGATTCTTCTAAGAGCGTCCATCAGATTTTCAGAGTAAATGGAAGACTGTTCACAAAATTGTACAGGATGTTTTGGTGAAACAGTGAAATTTAAGGTAGACTGAATGCTGCCTTAATTTCTTTCAAAATGTGTGTGGATAGTCTTGTCTCACTGCCTTAGCTGATTCTTTTGTCAAATAGCAAATAATTTTTGTTATAATTGTATTGACTCTCTTGAAAAGAACTTAATAAAGGACAATGATGATATGATCTGTCTAGAACAGATTTGAATTGATTTGGCTGGTAGTAGTATCATTCGTTACAAATAAAAAAAGTTCATACCATTCTGGGACTTACTGTAGCCTCAATCTCAGAACCAACAGAACTTGTCAAAATCAGGCTAAAGTATACCTGAAAATGGATTAAATATTCACAGCACCTGTCTGTGTCATATGATGTATACTCATGGTGTAGAGTAAGACAAGACTCAAGTCCATAGAGGTTTACTAACCTGAACTGTAAAGAATACGAATAGTCATATGGCGGAATTAGCAAATTAGTTAAAAGTTTACAATTACTGTGTATGTGGAGAGGAGATGTAGAAGTTGCTAGGAAAATGAGATTTTTATCAGTGGTTTTGATGGTTAGATTATTTGCAAGCAAGTTCTTACTTGCTAGCAGAGTAGATGTTATGTGTTGACTTTTGCTCAAATAAGCTATTAGCCTGACATTTGCTGTGAAGCATTATATGTTGGTAATTCATTAGATCCATGTACATTTGTCTGGTAGATAGATAAAATGTATTCTAATATTCTAAAAATAAATACTTTTGAATATTAAATGATCACTTCATCCTTGCCAAAGATGAAATCAAAGTCTAAATCTTGCTCTTTTACATGCAGTGTGGGAAATTATATTTTTGAATGTAAATGTAATCATAAGCTTTTGCATTTAAACTATAATGACAGCATTAAAGTGATAGGGCATTTCAATATGTTATCATAAGTTGCTATGTCTTGGCAAGATCTTCACCAAGCACCTTAGCATTTTAAACTTGGAAGTATTTTTCAAGGAAATCAAAGTAATTAACTAGAATTAGTCTATGAGTTTATAAGTGTGTGGGCAGATCAAGTGATAAGTAAAATAACTTCACTTTGTACCTCCTCTCACTTCCTGATAGTTTTGGTAGTTGATAAATACAAATTTAAGTTGCACCTTTGCATAAGAAATTGTCTGATGGTTCAACTCAAGGACAACTGTACTTAAACCAGGTTAAGTGATAATTTTAGTGAATATTAGTGAATATTTAGTGAACATTACTGTTGTTTGACAGTTTAAAAGCTCAATGAATGAAAAATATTTTTTACAAATATTGAAAGTTAAGTAAAGAATTTTTAGAACTTTGAACTAATGAAGAAGAGCAATAGATAAATGATTGCATTTTAATCTGAGATCTACATGCGATAGTACAACACATAGCTTTGTATTTCTCTTAAGAAATGGCTAGAGTTGATATGAGAGGATGGAAAAAAACACATGCTAAGCAAATAATTAATATTTTTTTTATCAATTATGCTTTCTCCTTCTGACACTTTAGCAATCTAGATTCAAGATTTTTCCCTTTTTTGAGCATATTACTTCAGTAATGTATCTCATGCCCCTGGGAGTGTCTAGTTTTTGCTCCCTGTGCAGAACAGGAAACATTTAGGGGTTCCTTTAAAACCAGGGGTAAGGTAACTAAGATGGGATTGGTATGCTGTTTAGGATAGCTGAAGAGTTAACTCTGCAAGTACTTCAGTGATTTAAAGCTTTAATAAGTGATCGATTTCTGCCATTCTTTCCTCTATCCTTAAGCTCATTTTAGTTTTACACAACCAGGGAAGGGTAGGAGCTCAGTGCTGTATTTGAACTATCAGCCAGCTTTTGTGTTGATTTCTGTTCTACTCTGTTTATAAATCCTGGGCTTGGGCAATATGTAGCCACCCAGTCTAAGGCAGTTGTTCATACTCAGAAGCAAAAGATAGGCAGCTTGTGAGTCTGTAAGTTCCCCAGGCAGGTTTGTTTATGTGGTTCATTTGCTTGTGGTTTAGTCAGTTCTTCCCTAATAACATTTCTGCCTACTTGCCAATTTCAGTCAAACTCTGACAGAGCAGAGCCCTTGTTGCGTTTAAATTCCTGAAAAGTTTTGAAAATACAGGTAGGTAGGAAAGGCCGAGTAAGTAATACTATTTGACCTGCCAGCTGATAAGCCTGTCTGATCTTGGTCTGAATGTGCTTGTCCTGCCTGTTCTGGTACCTGGTAGGGAGCCATATGCGTACATGTGGGATAAGGGAAACTATGTGACGTGAAACATGCAGAAGAGCTGTAGTTATTGTCAAAAGAGTTGTAAAATAAATCATAGTGGGGAATCTGAGATTACTTTCACATTAAACTGTAGAGTCAGAATAAAGAACCTAAGAAACCAGTTTTCTCATTGTGATTAGGAACACACCATGATGCATAGGTTAACCTGAGATTTAATAGTATCTAAGTATAGAATTAAAAGATATTTTTCCTTATGTGCCTCAGACACATACTATTTTATGCATTGATCCAGGAGGTGGATGAGTTTTGTTTTAGTTAAATATACTGTGATTTATTCTGCATTTTTTTCCTGATAATACTTCCTTGAGCCAAATCACTTGTAAAATCAATGGAAGCCTTTAGTTAACATCTCCAATTTAATCATCTTGCTTTTACAATTTTGTGAAACTTACTGTAACATGAAAAATCTATCATCAAGTTACAGTGTTTGTAATAAAAGCATGTAATAGAAGGCATTATATCTATATCCTCTTCTCAAGTGAGGTCACCAAGAGCAAGTTGCCTGGAACCATGTCCAGACAGCTTTTGAATATCTGTAAGGATGTAGACCCCACAGTCTTTCTGGGCAACCTGTAGTCAGTCATCCTCACAGTGAAAAGGTTTTTCCTCATGTTTAGATGCTGTGTTTTAGTTGTTGCCTATTGATTCTTGTCCTGTCACTGGATACCCCTGAAAGAGCCCTGGCTCCATTTTATTTGAACCTTCCTTTCAGATGTTTATCCATGTTGATGAGACCCCCCTGAATCTTCTGTAGGCTACACAGTCCCAGCCCTTTCAGACTTTGATCAGACAGAAAAGCTCCAGACCCTTCATCATTTTAAAGGACCTTTTTTGCATTCCCTCTCCAGTATGACCATATCTCGTACTGCTGAGTAGAGGGGCAGGATCACTACCTTCACTTGCTGGCAGTACTCCTAATGCAGGCCAGGGGGCCATTAGCCTTCTTTGCTGCAAGGGCACACTACGGTTCATGTGCAACTTGATGACCAGCAGGTCCTTTACTGCAAGTTGCTTTATGGCTATGTGGCCCACAGTGTGGGGTTGTTCCTTCCCAGGTGCAGGATTTCAGACTTCCCATTGTTGAACTTCACCAAGTTCTGAAGGCTGATATTGCTAGTAAAGACAGAGAGCATTCAATACCTCAGCCTTTTCCATATCCCATATCACCAGGGTCCTGCCCCATTCAGCAGCAGCCCATGTACAGAAGACATTCCCTAGACATTCTTTTGTTATGTACCTACACAAGTCCTTCATGTTACCTATGATACCTCTTCTGAGATTCAACTTCAGGTGGGCACAAGGACTTTTATGAGAAGTTCTGCTTGACATCTGCAGTGTTATGCACTATTGTGTTCTAAAAATGTTGTAAGTCCAACATTGATTTGTAAAATAGAAGTTGTTTTTCATATTTATGAGAGATTATGATTCTCATAAATATTAATCTTGATACTTATAAATTTTGATATGGTTCTTATAAAGCATTCTGCCTTTCAGTGTGATGGTTGTTGGTTTTATACTTCGATCATATGTGTTGCCTTTCTGCAAACCCGGTTTTCTGCAGCACTACTTTTGAGTTGCAATGATCAATTGCACACAAGGAATTCCAGATGAGATCACACCACTTGTTTTATAAACATGTAATTAGATAAGAGATCCTCATATATTTTCTCTTATGCAACTTAAAATTTCAATTGGGGGGTGTGCTTAACTGAAGCTGCTAATTAAACAGAAGTCCTCCCTGAGAGAGAAATTAGTCTCTTGAGGTGTTTTTTGGTGTTAAATGATTCATTTTGAACACTCAAGTCTGTGTCTTGAAATGCTTTGCTTCAGTACCTGTGGCATTGCATAGCTTGACATTTAAATACAACTGTAAACTTTTTGCCCACGGACCTCTATGTATTTCTCTTAGAATTTTGTGTAGCCTGGCATAGAGTACTATGTTGCATTACCTAATCACTTGCAAATCTGCTTCTTTACTGTTTTTTTAATGTGTCATAACCTGGTGGATTTTTATGTGGTGCCTAATGCACAGCTGTGAATACTTGTAATTTTTTACCAAATAAACATCCACTCTGCTGTTGACAATGTTATCCTTTACCCATTTTTCTGTGAGCTTTTGAGGAAATCTGAATACTTCATGGTGAAATAATACTACTGCTGTCTTGGAAAAATGTTAGAATATTGTCTTTAGTTTACCCAGCAGATCTGCCTGCAAAAAGAAACTCTTTATTTTGATTTGATTTGCCGCAATTTTTCAATCTGTCCATTATGGTCTTTTGTAACTTTATTAGGGAATACCTTCCTAAAGTGGTTCTAAAGAATGGCTTTACTTTGAGCAGGATGTCTTTAAATGACTGCAGAACAGTGTTTTTGTCA